TTGGGCTGCATGTGGGAAGGAATAAAGAGGTGGAGGTGACAACACCAAATCCAGGATTGCCAAAGGCCAAAATACCTATCTATCCCAGCACGAGGAGGGATCCTTTCGCCAGTCACCAACTGCCTTAAGTCTTGGCAAAGATGGCATCCGTATCTCCTTCCTTCTGATCACTCTCTCTCCTCCACTACCTTCTCACTCCCAAACATTTCCATTCTTCTTTAATTTCAAGAATTGAAGGCTTTCATAAAGACAGGTCTTACAAATAGCTTTCTCCTGGTGTGGACCCTAAACACACCCACTGTCTTCAAAGAACCTGGGGCACCTAACCCATCATAAATCCTTCTATATAAAATAGTTGTTGCTGTTGTTGGTTTCTGTTGCATGAATTCCAACTGTCAGCGACTCTGTGTCCACAGAAATCGGCTTCATAGGATTTTCAAGACTGTGACCTTTTGGAAGCAGATTGTTGAGCGCTTCTTCCCAGGCGGCTCTGGGTAAATTCAAACTGCCAAGCTTTAGGTAATAATTAAGCATTTAACTATGTGTGCTCCCAGAAACCTGGTAGGAATAATGATGCCCATTTCAAATGGGAAATGAGAGAATGGACACAAAACAGCAGCTGCTATTCATGCTTGCTGTTAAAGGTATTATGACCTGGGTACCTTTGGCTTGCATAACCTGAAGTATGATGCATCATAATGCTCTTTTCCTGACCACCAAGCAGAGGCAATTCACCTGTCCCTTGCTTGCACCAGAGGGTGATGTGGCGACACATCCTTTTGAAATAGGCACCTCATGAAGACAAGGCAAGATTACCGTCATTTATTCACTGTTATTAAGTAAGCATCAGCATTAATTTAGAAATTGCTAGGCAGATTTTAGAAGATGCAGCCCAGGTCCTTAACATGACCTCTCCTGGGATTTTTCTCAATGCAGTCTTGTCAAAAGGTCCCTTAGGATTAGGTGAGAACAGTGGGGAAAGTCAAGAAACAAAAGTATCAAGAAAGAAGAAATCCACTGAATAGAGAACAAGTTAGCCAGGTGAGAGGGGTCTAAGGTCCTCTTAATTTTCTCTCTCTGGGCCTTACCTCCTGTGTCTTCTCTGAAGTTGCATAATTTAGACTCTCATTATGATTGTCTCGTTTCTTTTCTAAAACCTGGTTTGGGGCACAGCCATATAGATTTGTTTAAATTAATATGTAAATTACTGCCGGGGCTTTGTACTAGCTTATTTTTATAAGAGGAAGAAAAAGAAATGAGTACTTTTACGTTAGTGGATGAGAAGGAAAACCTTCCCAATGACTCAACAATCACACTCCTGCGCTATCTGAAAGATAAGCACTTTAACAGGCTGACTGGGACAGAGGTCTAGCTAGGCCCAGGAGCTAAACTGACTAACATTTCAACCTCTATCCTCTTCCTGGAAGTAGGAAAGTAGAGCAGAGCAGCAACCCACAGGGGCGAGAGGACAGGGGACACTAGAAAGAGCAGAGACAGATGGAGACAGACTGCTCTCCAAAGCTGTTCTTGGGGGAAGTGGAGCTGCCAAGAAGGACTGCAGAGCTTTCTTCAAAATATAACTTTCAATATAATGAAGATTTAGGAGCTCTGACTTCCAGATCTTTGGGGTAACTTCTGACCTTCTCCCTGAGGCCCTCCTCGCCCATGAGAATCCAGTCATGGGCATGGGAATCTCAAAGTGTTTATCTCATGGGCAGGTACAGCCAACACTCAAAGAGATTTCTCATCTTTATCACAGCCTGGGTCTGAGGTAAGGCCTGGATCAGATCATTCCACCTGTTAGCGAGTCCAGTACCCACAGAGAGTCAGAGCAGAGACAGTGAAAAGGACTGCCAAGGGGGTGCCATCTGACCTCCCTGCAGGCTGGCAGCCACCCTGGCTCAGGACCACATGATGCCAAGGTGAAAGGGCCTGGCTTCCTGCATCCTCCAGATAAGTAGCCTCAGTAGAGGAGAAACAGACAGGTCAGAGTCAGCCCTGGAACACAAACACCAGTATATTTCATGTGCAAGGGTGTGGAAAGACAGAGACCAACAGAGACACAGAGCAGGTGACAGTGCATAAGCCAGTCATGTGTCCTGAAGAGCTGCCCGTAGTAGGGAAGCAGTTCCACCCACGCCAAAGGCCCTGTGCAGTCAGGGCCTGCAGGGGCCCAGGTCTAGCCTCAGGGTGGAAGGCTGTCTCTCTGCCTTTAGCCAGTTGCTCTTTGAAGGTCTAGGTGTCTCTCCTTTCTGCATCCCCTCACAGTGTTTCTGCACACCCGAGTTCCATAAAGAGGTTCTCATGAGCTGGCCCACTCAGCAGCTGCCTCCCAGGAGACCCATGCAGAGCGAGCGACCAGGACAAAAGGGCACTCCCTAGTTATTATTGCTGTGAATAAGCATAGGCCATTGTGACTCACTGGCATTGAAGAGGGGACAGGGCACAGGGGATGGGATGCTGACGTCAAAAGCATTTCAACCATGCAGGGCAGCACATCATTCTCTGACTCATCTGAGATGCGACCACAGCCAATGGAGACAGGCCTGGGACACCAGAGGTTCACAAACAGCGAGAAGACCTTCCGCTAACCTCCCCACTGTATTCTCAGGGCTGTTTGTCCCCAAACCTTGCATCTTTGGGTGCTAAGGTATTGAGGCCCTATAGATACCAGAAAAGTAGGAGCTGAAATCTGGGTTACCTGGCAAAATCTGAACCGGCAGGTGCCATGGTCAGACTACAGGGGTAGTCCCGGGGGACCCTGATGAAGTAGAAACCTCTGCTTGTTTCCAGGTAGGCAGGTATATTCTGAGACTTCCTGCATTTGGAAGTTTATGTGGCCCAGGGAGAACATGGCACCAGGAAATACCCACCACCGCACCCAAAGCAGCAAGACCCAGTGTGCCACCAAGGGCTTGCTGTAGCTATTAGTTGAGGCCTGAGGCTGGGCTACATCATCAACAGGCTGACCACTGACAGGTCCATTTATGCAAAGAAAAAGCAAAGGCAGGTGGTGTGGCCCACGTGTCTACATGGAAGGTGTGGAGAGGAACTAATGTCCAGGAGATTGAGACAATACAGGACGGAGGAAACAAGGGATAACTGCTCAGAGGGAATGGGGAATCTCCCCTCTGAGATTCCCTCCTCCTGTAGATGGGGTGTGATGTGGAGTAATCAACCCCACCAGAAGCCTGGCTCCCTGTAGAACCCCAAAAGCTTGGATTTGAGTCACAGGTAGACTGGTCCCTACAGAAGTTAATCCCTGGATTTCAGGAGCCTGCCTCAGGAAATGGGCTGAGAACCACCAGACAGGGCCTGCTGCAGGAAACCATCCTGCCAACGGCCTTCTTGACCCACACCACCACTCCTGCCTCCACCCACCCTCCCCAAGCCTGCTAGGTCTAGGAGCAGCACAGCAAGAAGAGGAGATTCTCTCCGTGGGTGGTATTGTTTCCTTTTAATGGTCTATAAAAAGGGGGGTTCTAATGTCTACCTAGTACCTTGGGATGGGCTGCATTCTGGTTAGCCCCTCCATTCAGGGAGTGGTGGGCAGTCAGAAGTAAGCTGGAGGGAGGACTTCACCTGTCCACTGCCAGCAATGGACCTGTCACAAGGGTATGGTGGGGGCAGCCCCAAGATAATGCCTCTGAGAGTAGCAGGAATAATACTGTTTCAGGAGTAAACTCAATGGTCAGTCTTGCTAGGAGGGGGTGGGGAGAGGAGGCAGCCCTGAGGAGGTTTGAGTACAAGGCCAGGATTCTGACAGAGCCAGAAATGATCCCTTCCCACTCAGGATGCTCCAGAAATGTCCCAAGTCCAGAAGGCCTCTCCCCCGCCCCCTTCTTCTTCTTTGCTCGTTCACCATGGTCTCCATCACTGGCCTCAGGCCCCTCCATCTCCTAGAAAGCTGGATTGCCCTAGTGGCTTGGAAAAGAGAAGCAAACAGGGCATAGATGAACTAGAATTCTGGCTTGACTCCCACAGAACTGATTTGTCTCGAGGCCTCTGCTGTGCGTGCGCTGGGCCCAGCTCAGAATATAATTAGTTTTGAGCGGGGTGATTGTGGGGAGGGGGTGTGGAGAAGAGCACCAGGGACCCAGCCACAGTGTGCTAGACTGGGTGGGCGGCACGGTGCAGGGAGCTCCTGTCAGCAGGCCAGCAGGGGCAGGGAAGGGGCAGCCTCAAGGGGACAGGGTGGGAGCTTCTAAGGGTTCTGTCTGGCACAGCTGCAGTCTGGGCTAGGGATCTGGAGATGAGGGCAGGGGCAAATAGGAGGCCTGATAAGGATAAAAGGGCTGCTGAGTGATAAAGGCCTTGAAAATGGGGGAGAAAAGCCACTGAAACTCACAGGGATTGAAACCTCCAAAAGCCCAAGGTTGGTGGGAATCCAGCACCAGGGGGCCCCCCAGACGGCCAAGGGAGCGGGGTGGGGCCCTGGGGGAAGGGAGAGGAGCTGAGCCAGAGCCCTCGCAGACCAGCCCTGCAGCCATGCAGCCTCCAGGCTGCCGGGTCTCTCTGTAGGCTGCATGCCCCCGGGGAGGTATTGGTTGAAGCAAGCACCTGAATATTGCCTAAAGGATCCAGCCAAAGCCCAATTAGACCCAGGTAAGAGGGAGAGGTCGCTGCAGCAGCAGCTCAGAGCTTCTTTGGGCCTTGCCTCCCACCTTCTCTGCCTCATTCTTAAAGTCTCTTAACCAGGACTGGGCCTGATTAGTCCACAGTCAGCACGGAGTCCAATCACTGCTCAGCCACAGGCCCACACTGCCATCCTCTGAACTTGGCTGTGATCCATAAACCCTTTGCAATGTCCCTCTGTGGTCTCCACATCACCCCACCCCCATAAAGACACGTGACCAGGCCCCCTTACACAGACAGCAGTCCACAGAGGAGGGTGTGTGCACCCCATGTGACTGAGGTCTGGCGGGGCTTGTGCTGTACAGAAGGGGCCAATCCCATCTTCTGGGTCTGTGTCCATGGGCCCCACCCGCCAGCCCCCTGAGTCAGTCAGTCTTGACATGGCCATTGGCCAGGGCGAGGGGACCACCAGGCTCCCCGGGCTCTGCGTCCTTGTCGAAGCGCAAGCGGAGGGTGTTGCGGATAATGAACTGTTCCACGATGAGCGCCCCACAGAACCAGGGCACGGCGTACTCCAGGGTGATGAGGCCCATGAAGTCAAAGTCGAACTGGGAGTAGTCCCAGGGACAGGCGTTGAACTGGCGCAGGATGAAGCCGGTGGTGAACTCCCACAGGTAGGTCCAGAAGGTGTAGATGAGGCAGCGCAGAAGCAGGGGGCAGCGGTCCCGCAGGCGCAGGTACATGCGCTCCACGATGAGGATGGAGGTGCCGTAGATAAACAGGGCCCACACGCTCGTGACGCCCGGGAACTTCCAGTTCAAGTTCACCACGAACTCCCAGGCCGCCGTGAACATCACCTCGCAGAAGTAGCCATGGATGGCGTACAGGTACCAGCGGGACAGCGCCGTCAGGGGTTCCGCAGAAGACATGGTGCTGAGGGGGGTCAGCGTCTAGGAACACAAAGGAGACGGTGAGGGAGGGGGAGACCTTTCACTTCTGTCTCTCCCTCATCTGTCCAGGGCTCCCCGTGGTCATGCTGGAGGGAGAGACCCTTTCCACCCACATCCCCATCACCCGTCCAGGGCTCCCTGTGGCCACGCTGGCGGGCCTGCCTCTACTTTCTTCCTCCTCTAGTTACCAGCCATATTCCTTATCATATTACCCATTATCTTATATGGCCAATATTTTATTTCATATTCCATATTTTGACCAGGTGGGCATGATAATAAAAATAAGAAAATAAACATCTACCTTTGTGTTGTGATGTTTTTTTCATGAGCAACTACTCACATGCTACTTAGCTATGCTCCCATAAGATTTTTTTCTTTTTCTCTTTTTATTGTTAAACTAATTTACAAAATTTGAATGCATTATGGTTGCCCTAGTATACACATCACCCTCATTTCTGACCTACTAGGAATTCTGGTGGGAGCTCTGGTGACTTAGTGAATAAGGAGTTGTACTGCCAACCCAAAGGCACATGGTTCGAATCCACCAGCTGCTCTGTAGGAGAAAAACTGGCAGTCTCCTCCCATTCAATTTATAGCTTCTGAAAATCCCCTGGAAGGTCAGCTATGAGTCATTTCTCGCTCCATGGCAATGAGGTTTTGAGAAGTCCTGGGATAACATAAATAAGTGCTAGACTACTAAACCCACCAGCTGGCATTTCAGACACATTCAGAGGCACCTCACAAGTAAGGTGTCACTTCAGAAAGATCTTGAAAAACTGGAATTGACTCAGGGGCAATCAGCAAAAGCTGATGCTTCATTCAGCCTATCCACTGAGGACTCCACCTTTCCTCTGTTTTTCTCATAGACATCTCACATTTCTGAGATACGTTTTATTCATTCACTGCTGGATGTTTTCTTCCCTCCTCCTCCCTACCCCTTTCTCCTAGTCCTGCAATGCAACCTTTGTTCCAGATTGTTGTTATCTATATAATATCTAATCATATATTCCTTTTGGACTGTTCTTCCCCTCATCTGCTTAATGCAATCTTTATTATCTATCCACTCCTTTCCTATTCTACCCTCAATCCCCCCTTGTTAATTATATAACAGTGGTGTTACACAGCATTGTCCTTTTGTGACTGAGATATTTTACTCAGCATAATGTCTTCTAGGCTCCCTCACATTGTGTAATATTTTATGAGTTCACTGTTTTTTAGTGCTGGATAATAGTCCATTGTGTGAACGTACCATAGTTTTTCTATCCATTTGTTTGTTGATGGGCACTTGGGTTGCTTCCATCTCTTTGCTATTGTGAATAATGAAGCAATAAACATGGATGTGCACACATCTGTTTGAGTCATGGCTCTGGTTTCTTTAGGGTATATTCCCAGTAGTGGAATTGCTGGGTCAAATAATATTTCTATTTCCAACTTTTTGAGAAAGGTCCAGACTGCCTTAAATAGTGGAAGTACCATTTTACCACCAGGAGTGAATAAGAGTTCCAATCTCTCCACAACCTCGCCAGCATTTGTTGTTTGCTGCCCTGTTGAACTTTGCTATTATTGCTGGAGTGAGATGATATCTCATATTTGTTTTTAGTCTTTAACTGGCTAAATTAAATGTAATTTTTGTGTTTTATTTCAATGTAGAAGGGAATCAGTAGACTGACAAGAATCTTTCCCTCTGCTTCTTAATGTTTTACTTCTCTTTCCCACCCAATCTTCAAGGCACAGTTCCCCATCCTGTCTCTCCAAAGACTAGGTCAGCCCACAGGCTCTGCTTTTTCCTAGCCCTCCTCCAGAAGCTGTCTGGACTAATTATTTGGCCCTTTACTATATGCCATGTTCTTTACTATTTTGAAATACATGTCCACTTTTTTTATTTTTTATTTTTATTTATTCTTTTTTTTATGTGTGTACCGTCAAATTGGATCTGACTGGTACAGGAGGCAATTGTTCCTCCTTCTTCAGCAGAGCATCTGGTGGATTTGAACCGTGCACCTCTGGGATTGCAGTGCAGTTTCCTACCACTAGGCCACCAGACCTCGCCGAAATACATGTCCTCTTGACCCAACTAGTCTGTGAACTCCTTGAGGGCAGGGACTCTTATAGTCCTCTATCTTGCAGCTCTGGCACAGGCCTCTACAAAGCTGGATTTTCCAAATGCCACATGCTGTTTAGGCAGAGGGGAGAGTGGAAGAGCTTGGGGCTGCAAGTGAGCCCCAGCTCTGCGAGCTGCCAATGACCAGCAGGACTGATATCTCTGTCAAGGCCATCTCCAAGGAGTGAGAGGGGACAGAGGTTAACAAGATGGCATCTAAAGTCTGCCTGTTTGAGAATCCCAGGCTCATCCTTCAGCTAAAGCAAGGTATAATACCCACCCATGTGCAATTCTCTGTGGTCTTTCTAGCACTTTCATTCACATTTTGCCATTAGTCCTTCTAAAAAAGTAGGACTTATACTGAGGGTAGAATGTGCTACCCCTAGTTTTTGGTAAGGCAGTTGGGGCTCAAAAAGAGAAAGGCATTTGTCTCAGATCCCAGAGCCAGCAGAACAGATATTAAAAACCAAATTCTTTGATTTCCACATCAGTGGTCAGCCTACTGTAACTACTACCCATGTCTCCTAGACACCACATGGATCTAGCATCCCTCTGCAGAAACTATCAGGGTTCAGTTCTTAAGTCAGTATTGCCTCTTTTCAGCCATACTCACAAGCAGATATCTGTCCATCAGCCTCCACAGGTCTTTAGCCTTTTCCCTACTCAGGAAGTGTCACAAAGTTCTTTAATTCTGTTGTACCCAGAGGCAAACCACTTTGCCAATAAGCCTTGATCTAAAGCTCTGCAAATTGATGATAATAAGTGGTGACTACAAAGGCAGTCAGCAAGCCTAACTCTGTCAAGTGTTTGAAGGCATCCTCCTCTGCCAGCAAGCCTCCTGTTGATCTCATTATTCTCCTGCTATCATTTCTCTGTGCTGCTTCTTGCCGTATGTCATCTCTGTTGTCAAAAATCTATGTCATTCTGTCTCTGTCTCCTGGATATACGAGGTTCTCATCATAGGGACACTGGGCCCAAAATATGTGCCCCCTGCTCTTCTTTCTTGGTGATACTGAGATCCCCCTTCTTTGCTCAGTTCTCTCATTTTTTATTTCTTGTGAAACAAAAGGTGTGACTCAAGCAAAGACATGACTGCATTGAGGTAGTGAATGTAGGTGACTTGAGTGATGGTGGCAGGAATGGTGTCTAAGTTACACCCTCTAGTATGATATATCTCACTCTAATCTTAAAATCATATTAGCAAAATGGACAATGAGGCTGACTATTCCTTGGAAAGGGACATGATAGTTGGAAAGACTGAGGGTCAGGGATGGAGGTGAAGACTGGAAAGACTGAGGGTCAGGGATGGAAGGGAAGACCCACATGAGACAGAGTGACAAGATTATTTTAGCTGTGGGCTTTGGTGTGTCAAAGATGATGAGGATGGTTCAGAGGAGGGCAGGGTTCAGGTAACCTGTTCATAGGGTCAATATGAGTCATAATCAACAGTACTTAACAAAAACTCCAAAATGAAACTATAGGACATGAGGACACAGAAAGAAGTAGGAACTGTTACAATATGGAGATGATAATCAATGCCATAAAACATAACATGTATGAATTGTTGAGTTAAAATCTAGTTTGCTCTGCAAACTGAAAACTCAGTCTCTCTCTCTCTCTCTCTCTCTCTCTCTCTCTCTCTCTCTCTCTCTCTCTCTCTCTCTCTCTCTCTCTCTCTCTCACACACACACACACACACACACACACACAAAGTTACAAAGTTAAAGAAAACTTACTATAACCACAGGTGGTGGTGGTGTTAGGTACTATCAAGTTGGCTCTGAACCACAACAACACTGTATATAATAGAATGAAAACTTGACCAATTTTGAGTCATCCTCACCATTTCTGCTGTGCCTGATCCCACTGTTACTGTGTCAAGAACTCTCAGCATAGATGCTAGAATTTCTACTATATGGAAAAATGAGGACTATGGCTCAAAAGGACATCTTAAGTAAATCATGACATTGTACCTTGTGACTTGCTTTGGCCCCTGAGATGGTAACAGGTGAGGCCTGACAACAAGCATTTGTGCACTTGGGCTAACTTGTTTCTGTGCCTCTACCTTTGCTATGAAAAGAACATGCTGGGACTAGAAGAAAGATGAGAGAAAGGTGGAATAGAACCACTTCAGCCACGAACACACAGAATAGAGCTCCTATGTCCTTCTGTCTCTGTGTCCTGGATATAGGAGCCACAAGAAGCCACATGATCAAGGCCACCAAGATCTGACAAGCCCAAGACAAGCCACAAAACACTGTAATATTTTGGGAGCTCTAGTGGCCTAGCGACAAGGAGCTGCAACTATAATCCCAGAGGTGCACGGTTCGAATCCACCAGATGCTTTGCCGGGAAAGGAGGGACAATCTCCTCCTGTACCAGTCAGATCCGATTTGGCGGTACACTCACACACACAATAAAAAAAAAAAGAAAGAAAAATTTAAAAAAACCCAACACTGTAATACTAAGTTGATAATTTGGGGGATGATTTGTTATGCAGCAAATAAATAGTTAACTGATTTAGGAGTCTCTCCATGCTTGTGTGGAAAAAACTGCTGGAGAAGCTCAATATCAGCTGTTGAAAACTAGGCCAGAAGCTGACTGTGGAACAGACCACCAACTACTCATATGCAAGTTCAAGCTGAAGCTGAGGAAAATTAAACCGAATCCACAGGAGCCAAAATATGACTTTAATTTCATGCCACCTGAATTTCAGAATCATCTCAGGAACAGATTTGAGGCCTTGAACACTAATGAGCAAAGACCAGATGAGTTGTGGGAGGATGTCAAATGTATCATCCAGGAAGAGTGCAAACGGTCATTACAAAGACAGAAGAGGAAGAAAAGACCAAAATGGGTGTCAGAAGAAACTCTGAAG